ACCAAAAGCCGTTTTACTCAAGGCACAAGTGTTGCTTCCGTTGGACTTTTTATGATATTTGATAAACTGATCAGACGCGCAATCGTCCACGATAAACAACGTATTCACACCACCGAAAGCTTTTTTGTAAAGCTGAAACGCTTCGTCGAGGTCTAAACTTATCTCGATCCAAATCACATAGATATACATTTTCGTCTGTATATATCCACAACCGGTCCAAGTAAGTCTTATTTTTAAATAGGGTTGGATAGATGATAACTATAGCTTCGTATGTAAATCGGTACTGGGTTTCTAATAGATTCAAGATCCACTGGGTTTTATCGCTACCTGTTTTACCTACGATTAGAGCTCATACTTTTTACTTAAACTGGATTTAGTAAATCAAACTTTAACTAGATTTAATAAACCAAACTTTTAACTTTAACTAGATTTAAAAACCAAACTTAATAAACAAAACTCTTAAAGTTGCTGTCTTCCAAAGTAAACTGCGCGTCCATTACCAAAAACACGTACACTATCAACGGCCCGGCAGTTTCTGCCTCGCGTTCCATTTGGATCGATATGTCTCCTCCACCACCCAACGGATGACCGGACTCGTGAGCCGAGTTGTCGTCAGAACTTCTGAAATCTAACCAGAGGCCGTACTTGTCTTTCAGGTAGCTAGCCATGTCAACGCCTGTCAAGTTTAAATCTTTCACAATGGCTCTACCAGTTCCGTGTCCGAATCCCCGAAACACTTGGAAACTTTGGAAAAGTGTTGGTATTCAAACAGCCCCCGCGAGTACAGCTGATTCAGCTTACTTTCGACCGTTACGACAGTTTTTATCATGTGTGGATTGTAAAATCTTTGCGGGTTCTTTACAGTAGGATTTTTGAACAAAATAAACATGCCTTTCAAGCTTTTAATCGTCTGATCTATACACAACGTGTCTGACTTGTTAAATGCCTGCTTCTTCCACGAGTGAATCCGATCGAATAAGTAGTACACGGGGCCTTTGTGATTTTTCCTCAAACTTTGTGCTAAATCGCGATTGGTTACGGTCTGGTATTCTAACGTTAGGTCTGAAATGCTGTACTCTGCGGCGGTGTCTGTACTTTAAACCACCTTGTCGTGTAAATTAAAAGTCGGTTGATGTGTCAGAAGTTCTTTCAAACCCAAGGGGTAAAATGGCCCGTGATCGGTCAGTATAGGCATATCCAATTGAATAGCGTTTCTGTTTTTATACACGTCAGCGATCGCTTTGTCTCTGCCTTCATTTAAAGTTTCGTTTTTGTCAACTGCTCCCAACTGCAACTTTGCCGCGTTCTCGCGTTCCAACACAAAGTAAGTAATGTTTTTAGTCTGTGTCAGGGGTAGCCAATTGTCTTTGAAGTTGTGGAATACGTCCACGGGCTTTTAACTCTGAAACTAGGTTCCTTACCACGGTGTTATACACGGTTCGATTGTTGTCTGATGCCCCGTCTAGATCCAACTTGAAAGCCAGTTTCGCGGTACTGGGCACAACAACGTCGTCAGATCCCAACGCAGGATACTTGACGCTTAGCGTATGACCGGCTGCTATGGTGCTCTGGTTGTGTGACGTGGTGACTTCACGTCTTTCACCCTCAATAGCTCGTGGAACTTTTAGCCTGCGGCTTGGGTTCTGTTTTTTAGTGTATTGGCTCGTCATGTTTTATAATAGACTGTTTTTAATTAAAAATCTTAAACATGAAAGACAGTGCAATCAACGACACACCGACTTCATATTTAATCAATTGATTTCTCTTGCGAAATGTTTCAAATTCCATTTCTGCAAGCACCTGTCGAATCTCTAAAAGCATGTCCCCTTGGTGACCTACGTCGGCTCGCATATCGCCAAGCATAGATTCGATGTTTGTTTGATCGGCACTGATGTCGGCTAATATATCTTTAACTTCTTGATCCGTGTTTTAAAATATATATTTTAAAATGGCGAGTGATGGTTGGAGGAGCTATAATAAACGCGTTGGCTTTCACGGGCTCCAATTTTTTATTCAACAGCTTATCTAAAAATAGGGTAGACGAGGAACGTAAACGACATGACCTTGCGTTGGAACAAGTAGCACAAGCGAAACAAGACTGGGAAACTCAGGGTTGAACGAGCGCATGAGGCAGGAAAGTGCGAGTCAACAGACATTTGTAAACGTGGACGAACCGTTGCGAGCTTACTCAGAACTGACGTTGTTGCCGTTGCCTCCGGAGCCAAAGTTGACCGATTTCTACGTGCCTTCGGAAGATCAAAAAGTTAGAGAATTGGTGTGAATTCTGGGAGGGACTGCGTTGCTCGGTATTTTGGCGTATCGGTTTAGATAAGTTTAGTTGGGTTTAGTTAACTTTATTTTTAAACAGTTTCAAAACTATGGATTAATCAAAGGATAAATCAAAGGACAAAGTAAAGGACAAAGAATTTTCTAAATTGTTTTGCAGCCCACAGGGCTACTGGAAAGGGGAAAGGGCTGTTGACCACTTGCATCAAAAGACGAGTGCAGACAAGTCAGTTATTAGAAAGGGCTAAAAAAAAAAGCCATCTGGCAAATCTATCTACCTGCCCCTGATTACGTACCCAGGCCGACAATGTTGCAATCGGAATCTGTCATACCAAATGAGGTGCATCAAATGGGATCAAGTAAATCGTAAAACTTTTAAATATGCTTTGACCGTAGTAGACGTGGGATCGAGATTTAAAGAGGCCGATCCTTTGACGAGTAAAATGGCCGAACAAACGTCAGAGGCCGTTAAACAGATTTACAAAAGGTCGCCTTTGATTTTGCCTAAATTTGTCATGGTGGATGCGGGATCAGAATTTAAAGGCGAGCTGAAAAAGTTGTTTACCTAATATAATGTTCGGCTTAACCGAACATCGGCCGAGCGTTTATTTGGCCATCAATACGCACAAGAAATGTTAAACGTCGGTACGAGAAATGTAGAATGGGTAAAGCGCCTTCCCAAAGTAATAAAATCGCTCAATGAAGAAAAGACTAGGCCACGCGAAACAAGCACCAAGCGCACCATCCCAAAAAGAAGAGAAATTGCCCTCAGATGCAATTGTTAGGTACCTACTAGTATATTACGCAGGTGGGCAAGAAGGTGGCACCGTTACAAGGGCAACCGGTCCCGTCTGGTCTGTGGACGTTTAGCAAATCGAGAATCGCACGAGTCAGTTTAAATAGGTCAATGGCAAAAGGTAAAAACGGGGCCTCGTTTTGTTAAAGAAGAGCTTCAAGTGGTACCAGAAGACACTGAGTTACCTCCTAAGGGGTAGGTAAAGGTGTTGGGGTAGGCAAAGGTGTTACGATCTTATCGTTTCCTATCGCCAAGTTTAACAACTTTAAGTTTAGTTGCCTTAAAAACCAAATTTAGAGTTTCTTCCTTGTTTTTGCAATCGGAGGAATAGACCCATTTGTAAATGAGTGAGTCTCGTAGTTCTCTCGGTTTTATGTTTTCTAAGGCGTGTAAGCTTTCACAGGGTAAGGCTTGTAAGTTTGCACAGGGTAAGGCTTGCCTAGCGAGCTCCAGGTCAGTTGCTTTAAACCCCTTTCTAATCGATTTATAATTTCCGTAAGCTAAAGTGCCCACGCCGTTTTGTAACAGGTAACGTTTTATGTCGAAGGGTGACAGGTACAGTTTATTTTGCGTGGTGATGAATGATGTTTGTCTGATCTGAACAATTGCTGCTTTAAAAAAGTGTTGTAACCGTTCAGATAAGCACCTTTTCTAAGCCTCGTGTGACAATTGTTTTTGAGTTACTACTTTAGTAAATCGCCTTTTTTCAAATTCTGTTCTTCCGTTAAAATCGTGTATATTTTTGGCCGTATGCAAATGGCTTCCGATGTCACTTAACCACCAAATTCATCTTTCGTGTTGCCGATTACGTTTGTTTTTCGAATCGTAAAGCTTGTGGGTGGGCGGATCCGAAAATCAAATCCAATAACTCACGCTTTTTACATAGGTACCTGTGTAAATCATCGGTTTGAATCTGAACGAGCAGGCTATCTGTATCAGTGTACAAAAGGCAAACGTCCGAGCCGAAGACCGCTTTCAACGTGTTGTAGTAGAAGTCGTACATTAAAGTTTTGGATAGATCTAACACGCTTACGCTGCAGTAAATGAGCTTATTCAACTTTGTTTTTATGCAATACATTTCGACAAATCCGAGATTGCACTCTTTGAACAGCGTAGTCGTTTTATAGTGTGGTTTAGAAGCCAAGCGTTTGTACCAATCGGCGTCTTGTAGGTCTCTAAGCAGGTGCCCGGTGATGCGGTCTCTTACATTCTCCGTCGTTTGGCCAAATACCGAATTATTCATTAACTTACAAAAGTCTTTCTCGAAAGCAGATTTGGCTAATCTACTCAATTCGGTACATCGGTCGATATGAATAGAATTTAAACAATGATTGGCATCACAAGCATCTATCACGTAGAGAGACTCAGATTGTGTTTTTGCAAAAGTGACAATTGACATTGTTCTTTGGTTTATCATCTCTGTTTTCATGTATCTATTTATATAGGGGTTTTAAAATTTTATTCCATTTTTTCTCAAAGCTTCAAGGGGAGAGCGAGGTTTTCCGAGAAGTAGGGAAGTCAATTAATTCGGGAAGTCCCGGGGGGAGTTGGTCTGTAACTAGGGGTGAGCGGTTCTTTTTGCTTTTTCAAACCTGGTTTTAAAAAGGGTGAAAACCGCCGAGGAGGTAAAGGAGGGTTTTTTACGAAAATGAAAAGTGCTTTTAAAGAGTTGGTGTTTTTGAGGGTTTTTAAAAAGGGTCGATAAGGTATGGGGGTAAGAGTCGATGAGGTCATGGAGGGTTTAGGGAAAAGGGTGAAAAGGGGGGTTGATCTCGAACTCTCCTGCGCATACTACGATTGACGAACATTGAACTCGTGATGATCTCATGGTCATAAGGTGAAAATTCGTACATGTACATGTACTGCATTCTGGAAGTGCTACATCTCCTGAAATACATGTCTGATCAGGTTGAAACTTTTAAGATACATGTATCTAGATCTAGATGTGTGATAGATGAAAATTGATCCCATGTGATGACGACGTAGTTAGTTGAAAAGTCACATATGACATTAAAGGTGCATCCTTTACAGCCCAATATTTCCTAAAGTAAACATTTCCAGCGGGCTGAGGGTGAAATTTTCCAGATACATTTATCTTTAAGGGATGTGTGACAGACAAAAATTGACCTCATGGGATAATGACATCATTAGATGACAGGTCACGTGATATCAAATATGCATCATTTAAATTTCTATATCTCCTTGAAATACATGTCTGAGCGGGTTGAAACTTTGCAGATATCTGTAAGGGGGTGTGTAATAGACAAAACTGGACCTCATGGGTTGATGACGTCATCAGTTGACAAATTGACATAACAAGGGGTCGTTCTACACACCACTTTTGGTCCTTTCTTTGGGCCAATTTACTTCAAACCCGGCACATTGTCACACTACCACCCAAAGATGTATGCCGAATCATGGCGTCGACATGACGTAATCACCTGATTTATAATAGAATTTTGAATATTTAAGTTTCCCCTTATGTTTTGTACACGTTTTTCAACTGCCAGAATGAGAATGGCATGCTCTTTGGCCACTCCACAAAATGAAACTTGGTCCAAGCAAAGACCATGCAGCATATGTGGCCATATAGGAATGACATCGGTCTGGCATCATAATTGGATTTATTTTGTAATTTTGAGGATTTAATTTCTCCCATCGACTGTGTACACATTTTGAAACCCATTGACTTTGTACATACATAGAAGTGCCATTTTGCCCAAGCGTTTGCGGATGTCCATAAGTTGCTCGATCAGCTGACCTGCGCAATCGGTCTATAGCCCCACGATGTGAGCGTTGTCGCACTGTCCTATTGCTTGAAGACCTAGCTAAATTTGGCTAGAAGGTTGTGAAAAAATCATGCAAAATATATCGAGGGGAATGAACTCTGAGATTTCATATTTCAGGCTTCAACCAATTTTGATTCTCAAAATAAATCATCCGTGCTTGTTTTATTCCTCCATGGTGCATGTATCGACCTTTGTGCGGTCTCGTGTCAACACATGGACTTGATCGGGACGATATTTTCGACGGGCCCATGTGATTTCTTAGGACCTCTTGGGACTTCCCGGACCTGAAATTTCATCAATTGAGTTCTTAATGGATTTTGCTTGATCAGAGGATTCAAAGGTAATCCCATAAAATCTGAACTGAAACCAAATTCATGCACCGGCACAAGAAATTGCAGGAGTTGATACCTAATAGGCATGATCACAATGATCGTTCGCTAATAAGGGTGCACAGAGCCTAACAGTCACACGTAGTGCGGCGGGCAGCTGGGTTTAGAAGCTGGATGGATGGAGTGCTGGAACTGGGTCTGGAAGGTAAAGGTATACGTATTACAAAACAGTCTCAATTGCAAGTTTTAGTCTGCACTTTCTGTGCTAAGTCTTGACAGTGATGTTAGGGGGAGAGAGCTCACTCAAATTAGCTCTGAATTCGCACTGACATACACTGTACATGACATATCCCGAGAAACTTGTACGCTGCAAATGGCCTTTTTTAACATTTTGGTATGCTCACCATAGCTTATGTCCAAATGATGAAAGATGAATAAGGCGATTTACAGTGATTATGTAAGTCCTACATATTAAGCACAATCCAGTGATCAACTTGCTCATATTCATTAACTGCCTCCTGTGTACATATTATTCAATGGTTTTAGAATGATGGAGTTTATTCAAAGGCATGTCAAATCAGGATCCATGAGCACATATATGCAATACATGTACGTACTGTACATGTACATGTGCAAGTTTTACAATTGCGCTGAATGTAGAAATTGAACTGACTAAAGTCCTTCACCATAGTGCATACCGTATTTTATAACTATCTCCCGAGGACAAACCATATTACGGGTTTATGGTACATGTGTAAATATCCAAAAATGTGTGAAATTCCAAATCGAATGTAGACCTATGGTTATTTCTACATGTCAATGTAGCGTAAGCTGATTACATGGAATAGTTGAATTTCCTTATTTTGCTTCTTGTGTATACATGTACATGTAGGTGTCCTTTGTACTACTGCTGGAGTGAAAGTTACAGATAAATCTGGTCTCCATGTTAGTTCCAAGCACCAACGATAAAGGAAGCTGCTGTAGAACAAAGCAAGGAAATTAACAGGTGATGGTGAAAATACCTACTGTTGGATTGACATACAGACAGATTGCCAGTTCTGATTAATGCAGTCATTAATTAAAGTTTGTGTGTACAATGTATGTGCGTGTGGGGGGGATACATCCATGTACCACCATCATAAATGGTTCCCCCATCGACATCCATGCGCATGATACTCCACTTTAACATTCAGGTCCCCACGAACCCCCCATTTAGTGAGAAAATAAGGTTGCTATGCCAATGAATACATGTGCACATGAACGCTGTATTTGAGTTAAAGTTCTGATACAATTTTTCTCATGCATCAACGCATGAACTGCTGCACCTGTAATGAATGTTTTCCTTTTTGCAATGATACACATGTTTATCAGCACAGACATGAGGGTGGTCTTCACACATTTTCAATGTCCTCGGTACAATTGAAGAGCACTCTAAGCAGGACTGATCCTGAGAAGGATGAGAACAGCTTCATGAAACTACTCGTAGCAAGACTGCAACCAACAGGAAGTAATATTTACTTGCATGTGTACATTTAACAGCTAACATTTATTGAAAGACAACTACAGAAATTGTTCAAACTGGTTTCAGAAGAATAGTGCATTATCAGCCTCTAAAAGATCCCAAAGTTTTCAATTGGCCCCCAAGTCATTTGAAGTCTCTGCAAATCTTCAGAACAGAAAGGACTCTTGGCAGTTTTTGTATGATACACTTCAGAAAAAGTGTGCCCCGAAAAATGAAGGCAGATTTTTCCTTCATCTTGTCAAAACACTCCAAGTGCATACTTTGTTGTTATTCCCCCAAAACAAAACCATGTTATTACTGGTTCATGGTTTTTTATGATTTACTTGTTGATATAAGCTGAATGTTTCAATTTCCTTATTTGTTTCTTGTATATAGGCATCCTTCATGCTGCTACTGAAGTGAAAGCCACAGATCTCAATGTTAGGAATTTAACGTCTCTGCAGTTACATGTAGATCAGATGCACAGCCACCCTTGATAAGCTGCTGTAGGCCTACAACGAAGTAAAGAAATTCACAGGTAATGGTGAAAAGGCCTACCTACTGACATACAAACAGATTGCCAGTTCTGATTAATGCGGTCATGAAGCAAAGAGAGGAGGGGGACCCATGCATGTACCAATGCAAATCACTCATTGATCAACATCCATGTGTCCAGTCCCCCACTGTAACCATGGAGGAATAAGAACGAGTTCCTACTCATAGCCAAGTGATATCAAAAGTGTTGAAAGTTCCTACACCTTTTTTTCCATGCATCAACATGTAACTGACACACAATGAATTAATATTTTCCTTTTTCTTAGATGACACCAAAGAATGTTTACCAGCACATACACGAAGGAAGTCTTTCAACATGTAGGTGTTGTTGATGAAAAGGCAATTCGTACTAAGACTGTTTTACAGAAGGACATCATCAAAATAACATGATCATCTACAAAAAATGCAGCCACTAAGACATATGAGATACATGAGATGTATTTGTACATTTCCCTTGCATATTTCGTTCAAGATTTCTGCAGTAAATGTGAACACAGGTTTCGGAACATTATACAAAGTTTCAACGGTCACAAGTTGCTGATACATGTATTTTAAAACTGCTCCCAGTTTTGTTAAGTATCTAGAGCATAAAAATTTTTCCGGTATTTATATAATATACAAAAGTGAAATGCCCTAATGCAGTTTTTCTCTTTTCTTTTTTAAATATTAACATTCTTTAACATAACTTTAACAAGACCGCTTTCAGTGTTCAATATTTTGAGTATACATGGTATTTCTTAACATACGCTTAAATTCCACAATCTGAGTTTGTGCTGCTGTGCACTCGCAGATACAGTTGTTAAAAGTAAACATTTGTCCGGTTACTGTCGGGAGAAAATAAGATGTACTTTTGAAAGAATTGTGTGAAATTAAAGTTTGCATTATTTTTCTTCCGTCTTTGAAATCGACTTTTCTTCGTTTGTGTATACCGATGGCCCTAACAGTCCCATATCTTCTGGTGTTAAGATGATTTTACATCGTCACGGTTATAAAGTCGTACACCCTATTACAGAGAATCCTCCCGGCAATCAAACCCCTTACGAGAAAACTGAAGTGCGCCCTCACTTTATGCTATTCCACATTTTGTATTACCTGACTGATGATTTCCCTACGTTCGATCATATTTTCGCCAGGGATGAGGCAAGAAAGTACCCAGTGAATTGCATTAAACATTTGGTTTTGAAATAACTATTCATTGTTAGTTGCCCATTTTTCTTTAAAGTAGGTAAACGAAATATTGTGTTTGTCTCTGAGATCCCTATCAAGGTCATCTTATTCTAAACGGATATTGAAGGGATGTTGATTTTTGGTCTTGCGTTCAAACGAAACTGAAACTGAAAGTCTAATAACAGGTTTGTGAAGTCTGTTGTCAGTAGCCCTATACACGTATCTCCTGAACAACAAATGCACATATTCCATTGGGGTGAAATTTTGCAGATAATTAGAAAAGAGAAATGTTATTGACGAACCTCATGATGATCTCATGATCGTCAGGTGACATTTCACGTGACATTAATACATGAATATGTATTGCATTCATTGAGGTGCTATATCTCATGAAATACATTAAGTATGCATCATTTCAATCTCTACATCTTTTGAAATACATGTCCGAGCGGGTTGAAACTTTGTAGATATCTGTAAGGGGGTGTGACAGACGAAACTGGACCTCATTGGTTGGCGACATCATCACATAACAAGTCACATGACATCAAATATGTATCATTTAAAGCTCTATATCCCTTGAAGTACATGTCCATGCCAGGTTGAAACTAGATACAGGTTGAAACTAGATATCTCTAAGGTGGTGTGTAATAGACCAAAATTGACCTCCCGGGATAATGACGTCATCAGTTGACAAGTCACATGACATTAAAAGTGCATTCTTTTTCTTCTGCTCAAAGCCCCTTTGTTTGGTGCACGCTTTTTCTACGCACCACTTTATTTATTTTGCAACTTCATATCTTCATCAAACTTATGCAGAGTTGGTCCTAGAAGCATGACGTCATGATGACGTCATCAAGTGACTTATTATTCATTTCTACACTTTTGTTTTAGCCCATTGACTTTGTACACGCTTTAAAGGCAAAATTTGGGTTGCTTCGCGATCCTCGATCGTCATCAAAGTTACAGCCGGTGAAGATCATTATTCAAAATCATTTTCTATTTTATGACGTTACGGTGACGTCATTGCCTTATTCTATAATGATTTTGTAATACTTTAGTTTTCCTTATATGTTTTGTACACGTTTCTCTACTTATCACAAGTGAACGAGTAGCCCTTTTCTTCGGACGAAAGGACAAAAGAGAAGTTAGCTACTTTACGCACTGTTTTTTGACTGAAAATATGCCTTAGCGTGCGAATATGAAGTAATATTTCATAAAAATTGTTCAGTTTAAGCTTAAATCGCGCGACACGAACTTAAGGGAGCAGCATTTCTGCAAACGAGTTGAAGGTCCCTTGACTTTGTACACGTTTTCGAATCACAATTTTGGTAATTTTGCAATGTTTGATTATTGACAAAGTGGTAGCCAACAAAAACCCTGATGCAAGATTTATTGAAAATGAACGACGTCATGATGACTTCATCACCTTATTTTAGATTGATTTTTGAATATTTAAGTTTTCCCCATAAGTTTTGTACAGTTTTTTTGACTAGGCGTGAAACATGTAAACTTCAAAGCCTTTTATCTCCTGAAGGACATGTCCTATCTGGTTGAAATTTTGCAGACAACTAGAAAAAGATAAGTGTTACAGACAAATACAGGCCTCCTGTGCTGATGACGCCATCAGGATACCAGTCACATGACATTAAAGGTGCCCTTTTTAAGGCCTAATATCTCCTAACGCACATGTCCGATCGGGTTGAAATCTTACAGATATCTCAGAAGGGAAGTGCTTTAGACAAAAAATGACCTGATGTGATTATGGCGTCATCTTATGAGGAGTCATGTGACATTAAGATTGCGCTTTTCAAAGCACTATGTCTCGTGAAGTACATATGTCCCATTGGGATAAAATATTGCAGATATCTAAAAAAGGGTGCTTTAGACGAAAAAAAAGACCAGATGTGATGATGACGTCATCTTGTTACAGGTCACCTGACATTAAAGTTGCACTCGTCAAAGCACTATATCTCGTGAAGTACATTTCCGTTTGAGATGAAACCTTGCAGATTACTTAGAAGGGCAGTGCTTTAAACATTGACCAGATGTGATGATGACATCATCTTTTGACAAGTCAGGTGACATTAAGGATGCACTCTTTAAACCACGGATTTTTTTTAATTAATCTTAAACAATTCTTTCAAAACCTCAAAATAAGAAAAAGCCGTGTGTTTTTTCCCTCGAACAAACGCACACACTTCTAGTTGGCTATTTTGCAAAAATGGCATTTTTTGTTTTTTGTTTTTTTCGGCTTTTTCGCAATTTTGCGAAAAAGCCTTTGGAATATTCAGGATTTTTTTAGGGGGGTTCTTCTTTTTTTTGGTCCCAAAGCCCATAGACTTTGCACACGTTATTTCTGTGCAGGACTTTCGCCATTAATCTATGTCGCACAGCATTCAAAGTCGTCATAGACATAGTCACGATGACGTCATCAAGTGATTTATTATTGATTTTTTCAGCCCATTTACGTTGTACACGTTTTCGAGGCACTATTTCGGTACTTTAGTAATCGTTGATCGTCGTCAAATTTACAGCATACACTGACTATAAAACGAAGATACTACTGAAATATTCACGTCACGATGACGTCATTAAGTGATTTATTATTAAATATTAGATAATCCGTTAAATTTATAAAAATCCATATAAAATCAACCGTGGCCTCCCGCAACATTCTGTTTGCAGTAAGTGCCAGGGTAAAATGTGGTCTTGAATTCATCTCGTGTGGGTCATATCACGTGGCCCTTCCTTCCGGTCGAAACCAGTAGTGGTCTATTGTTTAAAAATGGTAATAGGTATCAAGTTATTTTCAACGGTGTTAGTCTGTCGGGGTGTTGTATTCTTCAAATCATCTACTGATGACATCACCTAATTATCGAGCGCTCTCTAGCGACAGGTTACAAATTCCTAAAATGAATTTTTGAATAGATGTCTGTGGCAAAGTTTGTTTGAATTGCCTGAAAATTTATTTAGATGATCATCTTTTACCTGTCAACACGTGTGTGAAGTTTGGTGCTGATGACGTCATCACACCGGAAGTTACAATAAGAACCTCTTTTATGCTATAAAATTCGGTAAAAAATCAACCGTTAGAGAGATGACAGCTAAAACATTGGAGTCAGCTGCATGAAGTGCATAACTGGTGTACTTTTTCACACACATGAAGTGCCGCCGAGAAAAAAAACCCTTAAAATATAAATTGCCAACTCGAAAATCCCATTTCGGTACTGCGTTTGTGTATTGGACGCCCAATATCTGCCTGCAACATAGACGGCGCAGAGTGCGCAGGGCATATACTCGGGACTTGGCAGGATGCCGACCACGTGCTGCCGAGAGCAGATCACACTGTATAGAACGCCAAAAGAGACAAATGTTTAAAATATCTAATCTGTGCCTTTTCCACGGTGAGTATAATGTTTTGTATTGTATATTGTATTCTACATGTCTTATTGGTTTGACACCTAGCAGGTAGTTAGGAAGGGAATGTTTACAAACGGAAATTGACCTCACGTAATGACAATGCCATCAGCAGACGAGTCACGTGACATTAAAGGTGCACAATTTAAAGTACTATATCTCCTTAAGTGTATATTCACTTTGTCGAAAATTAACAGGAATTTAGAAAGGTGTTTTAGACAAAACAGACCACCTCATGTGATGATGACGTCATCAGAGGATCATGTCACGTGACATTAAAGATCCACTTCTCCAAGTGCTTTATCTCTTGAAGTCATTATCCGATTGGGTTAAAACCCCTGTGATATCTTGGAAGGGAAATGCTGTAGGCAAATATTGACCTCGAATGTCTCACGTGACATTAAAGGTGACTATTTAAAACTCAATATCTCCTTAAGTATATATCCAATTGGGTTCAAACCTTACATATATCTTGAAAAGGAAGTGCTTTGGTGAAATTTTTACCTGAATGTAATGATGACGTCATCAGGAAACAAGTCACATTTAAAGTGCACACACCTCAAAGCACTGTATTTCCTGTAGTACATGTCCGATTGGGTTCAAATCTTGCAGAAAAAGCCCTCTGTTTTGTTATCAGACAGATAAGCTCTAGTTTCTTCTTCCGACCCAAATCTCCTTTGTTTAGAGCATGTTTTTGCTACCCAAGACTTTGGTCCCTTAGCAATTTTGGATCTTTATCCAACTTACGTCAATGAACAACCCTTATGCACAGAGGATCTCAGATCAATGACGTTATGGTGACGTCATCAGCTGATTTATTATTCATTTTTTAAATATTTATTTCAGCCCATTGACTTTGTACGCTTTTTTCAACAGCCAGACCTCATGACTCTGGTCAATCTTACTGATTTCATGTTTGGGCACACTCGTACTCCACCACGTAAGGAGGGCCCCAGAACAAAATCGTCATAATGACATAATCAGGGGTCACGTGGCATGAGATTAAAGGTGCAGTATTTCTCCAGAGGGATTGTACACGGTGTTTTTTTACAAAGTGGTGTTATCGATCTGAATGACTTTGGGGTTCTCAACTTCAGCCAAGGATTACTATGAGAACGACAGAGAAATCGTAATTTTTGGTTTGCATTTGATTACAAATATACTCTAGTATTTAAATATGAAGTAATATTTTGAAAAAAGGTTTGACCTAGACGCAAATCACATGACAGTGATTTAAAGGTACAGTTTATCTGCGTGAGGTTTTAGCCCATTGACTTTGTACACGTGTTCGAGGCACTATTTTAG